ACTAAAATGGATGTTCATAATATGAGAGTGCTCTGGCTAAAAGAATGTAAACTCTAAAATCACTTAAAAATTACAGTAGAAAACATAGAACAAAAACATAGACTAGATGTTATTTTAACATTTTAGAAGTACAAATTACTTTTAATAGCCTAGTAAATAATAGGGGCCTTTTTTAAATTAAAAAGTATAGGCCTATGCCTATTGTATTTAAAAAGTAAAAAAAAAGCATACGGCACAGACTCACAGAGGCTACTACTACAGCCTACCCTATTGAACCTGTGTGGTACTAGTCTAGATCTCTAGATTCTAGATATCTAGATCTACTTTAGTACTTTTAGTACTAGATTTCAGTACTACACTTTTACTAAAATAAATTATTTTAAATGTATGATTTGTCATAAATGCTCTATTAAATTATTAATTTTATATTATTATTATTAGGCAGAAAAATAGGCCTATATATTTAGAATTATTACTTTTAGGTTTAGGCCTAACTGTCATGTGTTACAGTCACCCAGTTATATGAATATGATAAAAACAGTTTTAAATTACTTCCAAATTTTATTTTATAGGAACATAGGCTATAGGCCTAATGATAATATCTTTAATATTACAACTATTTTAGGGGTCGGCGTGGTCGAGTCGGTAAAGCTCATGGTTGCTAAACCGAAAAGTCTCGAGTTCGAACCCTCGGGCAGATGAGGCTCGTTAGCTGGGGACAGCCACTCTTCTAGGAGAGACAACTCCAAAATTAAACAACTGCTGCCTTGTAGTTTGTTCTTGGTTGGACAAAGGCTATGGAAGCAAATCCAAAAAGAAAAGTAGGCTGAAATCGGAGTCAATGGCCTCAATGGCGCATAACCAATTGACACGTAACGCTTAATTGTGTTGGAGGCGTGGTCGAGTCGGCAAAAAGCTCATGGTTGATAAATTCGAACAAAGTCTCGAGTTCAAACCCACTGGCAGATAAATCTCGATCCCCTTCTACACTAATAATTAAGAACGAAGAAGAAGAAGAAGAAGACAACTATTTTATTATGCAAATTTTTTTCTGATGATCAAATTGAATTAGATGAATTATGATTGTTAATGAATAAATGTCATATATTTTATTATTTAGGGCCTATTGATTTATTAGCTCAGACATAAGCATTCATGATTGGTGTTTATAAATAATATTATTGAAATATTTGTTTTGGTTCCAGTTCTTCTTAAAATAGTACAAATATAAATTTTAAATGATGTTGAAATCAGCAATGGACGTTGTTAGTGCTATTGTCATACTGTCTTTATTTAAAAAAAAAATAATACCATTTAACCTATCTTTGTAAAAACACTTTCAGTCAAGGCTGTTCTCTACAATACTATATAGGCAATGTCTAATACAGTTGCCTTAAATTAATATTGTAGTTATTATACTGAGACAGTATTTACAGAGCTTCTTTCATGTGGTAGAGGAGGGAGGCATTTGAAAGTTCTGGGGGAGGGGGGAGTGGACAATGGTTAAAGTAAAGTCTATATTTTCTATTTAAATGAAATATTTTTTTTCAATTTTGTTCAAGTGGGGGGGTGGAGTAGACACTATCAGATGGTACTTAGTGCCCCCCCCCCCCCCACCTCTGCATAATTCCTGAAAGAAATATTGGTATTGTAAATACAGTTTATACCAACCTGTGTAAGGATTAGGATCAAGGGTGATTATTGTTAGGGTTCATTTAATGCATGGTATCTAACCCAAATGCCAATTCTGGCTCTAATTACTATACTAAACTGATAGTTTTTAAAGCTAAAAGTTTTGAATTTGTATAAAAATATTGCTTTGCTATACTTGTGACTGTAATAAAAAAAATTATTTAGTGAAGGTATAAAGATAATTTATTTTTCAAATGTTTTTATATTTTTAATGACTTCTTTTTAGGTTGTGGCTTTTAATTGAAAAATAAAGATCAAGAGAACAGTATTAAATTACAGTTAATATGAAGGTCTTCAAATGTGTTGACTATGAACTAAGGAAACCACTCTCTCCTTTTATATGCTCAACACCTTTAGATTTTGTGGAGGAAAGAGAGTATCTTTCGCAGGTGGTATTTCCACAACTTGACAGATTATGTAAAAGTAGAGGTTCATCTTTCACACCTGTTGACTTGCTATGGAACCCTGGGCAAAAAAAATTACAGGATGGTATCATGTTAAAAACACACTTAGATGAGATAAAAAAATGTGCACCATTTTTCATATGTCTTTTGGGAGAGACTTATGGTCCATTCAGAAGTGAAAACAAGCCTCCTTTATTGTCCAGTTTGGATGGACATTTAAAAAGAGCCCAGGAAGATTACGATTGGTTGGATAAAAATATTTTAAACGCTGCTTCTGGTGGCCACCCCTGGATTCTACAGAAAGGTAATTCAAATTTGTGCTTCAAGAATACATTTCAGTATTAACTCCTTTAGCACATTCTCTTTTCTGTAATGTTGCTAAATTTTGAAGAGATATAATTAATTAAAAATATAATATTATTTTGAATCAACATTTTTTTATTTACATTGAGAGATTTAATTTTTTTTTATAATTCTCAATATATTTGTAACATTTAATTAAATATTTTACATAATAGCTAGAAATACATGTAGTAATTTGTTTAGTACTGTAAATTAATAAATAAAACACATTTTTTTAAAAAATTTTTTGTTAATGTTCCCCTTTATGACCTTACGATCCATTGGGCAGAAGAAGTAGAGTTCATCTCTTTCTTGATCACGCCATTACTTTCCTTTACATGAGTCAGGTACCTCTCAGAGCTGGGTGGACTCAGGGATGTCCCACACACTTGATTCCAAGATCAAACCTTGAGACTTTTTGTGTTAGCAGTCAAGCGCTCTACTTCATGAACCTACCCTTCTACTGTTATTTAATGTTTTTTATTTAGGCCATCAATACTGCAGTGTTACAGAACTGGAAATTATTCAAGGGAACTCACTGTGTGATGACCAGCATGTCACATTTTATTATCGACAATCTGATCATTTAGACGATAGGTTACAAACAATACACGATAAAGCACAAAAAGATGAAATTGTGAAACTGTATTCTTCTGAATCAGAACTTTGTAAGGAAAAAATACACACTCTAAGACAAAGACTAGTAAACAAAGGAATACCAGTGAAATATTTTCGCACTTTGGAAGATTTAGCACAAGTTGTTGTAGAAGATTGGCGACAGATAATTGACTTTGTTTTACCTCCTTTGATTCACGATGCAAAATTATTGGGTGAGCTATTAAATTTATACTTTAGGAAAGACTAAACATTGACTACAAAGTTTGCACTTATTTTTTTAAAAGTTAAATCATTATTAAATTCAATGTAGCCTTTTGTGAATACTGTTTTTACGTAAGATCTTTCTAAAATATGTACTTTTCATTAAAGAAAAATAATATTGTAGATATAACAGTGAATCAACTTGACTTAGCAAGTACACTTTAATTTGAATAAAAGAAGAAACTATAATGATAACTATATTTGCTTTCAATGGTTGACTTAAACATAATATATTTTTAAACTCCAGATACACGAGTTTACAATGACTGGCTAGTGCAAGAATCATTTCTCCAGAAGAGAGCAGAAGTATTTGTCTCAGCTACTGATATAGAAGAAACTTTAGAGCAAATAACAGAGTTTGCACTAACATGCAAAAGAAAGGTAGCTGGAGATCCAGTTGAAGAAGTTCTGAACTCAAATACTGCAAATGATGATGAAAGCCAATTTTTAATTTCTGCATTGAAAAAGAAGTATGTACTAAGTGTAAATAATTTACATAAAAAAAATGACTTAGAATTATATTATTTTTCATCAATTATCATTAACCCCTTTTGTGGTCTTTGAGACGCCACAGTTGATTCCCTCCTAATTTTTAGTATCTTTCTTTGTCCTCTGCCTATCTGAAAAGTTCTGCAATGGGCAGCCCAGTCCAATCTTTGATGTATGTGTTTATTGCTTAAGTGTACACAATAATGATGTCATTTTTATCATTAGTGTTCCTACAACTGAAGTGGCAAAGAGCATCTTTCTGCTAGCGGGGGACAGAGGCTGTGGCAAAACCACACTAGCTGCCAGATGGCTGCACAGCTTCAGGGAGGATAACTGTGGGATATGCCTCATTTCCCACTTTACATCAGCATCAAACAAAAGCACCAATGTGGAGGACTTCTTAAGAAAAAGTATTGAGATGCTGAGAAAAGAATTTTTGTTCTCAGGTGAGAAAATTATTTAAAGAAAAAAAATTGATATTAATAACCTGACAATTAATTCCAAACCAAAATCAATGCAGTCTATAATCATCTGTTAGGGATTGATTGAGCTGTGTTAAATGATTGCAATAAATATTAATAAAATAAGCAGATGTTCATTAAATTACTATTATTATTTAATGAGTAAGCTACCCTTTATTCTTTAGAGCTGGTTAAGTAAACCTATCTCATTTGCTTCATGTCCAGCCAACTATGATTTTCTCTGACATCTAAAGATGTGGGGGGGGGGGGGGGGGGGGGGGGAATGAAAGACTAGTTTATAACTAGATATCTGTCTTGTGACTATTAGATTTGTACTAAAGCCTAACTGAACCAATTAATGTTAAATACTATAAACAATCTTCATTTGTTTGAAAATATAACTTTTAATCAATTTTAAAGTAATTATAATAATTTATATTGACTGTATAAAAAACTTCTAATTAAGTTGCATTGTTTTTTTACTTTCTCGTATATACAAAGTATAGAGAAAGTATTGTAATCGTGCAAAAAAAACCCCAGATTTGCAATTAAACGTCCCTGAGTTGGAAAAACATAGTTTTGCAATCTTGTCCGTATGTCTGTGTGTGTGTATGTGTGTGTGTGTGTAAACAAGATAACTTGAGAACCGTTACAGCTAGGTTGATGAAATTTCATATATAAGTATTATATCAAAATCATAGATCCGTATCAACTTTTGAGCAATTTCCGATAACCGGAAGTGGAACTTTTTCTACTTTGAATTTTTTAAAAGCCTATAACTTGAGTACTATTTTAGATAGATAAATGACATTTCACATGTAAGTAAAAGATCTAATTTTCTGCCTTCTATCAAATTTTGAGTGATTTCCATTGACCGGAAGTAGTAATTTTTACTATTTCCGATTTCTCAAAAAACGCATGTGAATTTATGAAGTACTAATAATATTCCACACTATTATACACATCTTTATTCGGCGTTCGCTTGGTGCGCAATTCTTTTTTCTATGAGATTCTATTATATTTTTAAAAGTTTAAGTATTTAAAATGGATTATAAATCATAACTATATCCTGAGTTCCCATCCCTTGTTGTTTTATATAAGAATATTCGAGAAAGTTTAGGGGAGATCACTCCCGGTTTATTTGTTATAGAAAGAAGTTAAATAATTTCTTCCTTATTAAAAATACATTTCAGAGGACTTCGATTCAAATTCTATTTGTGCTGCAACTGAAAGGGATTCAGACAGCCAGAGTTACCTGTCCTTGTGTGAAACTTTCAAAGCTTCCCTGGGGCTAGGACCATGTGTTCTTTTATTGGATGGTGTGAATGAGCTGGGCCCCACCTATGACCTGAGTTCACAGAAAGTGAGTAGCAGATAATGTCAAAAAAAAATAACTATTTTAATTTGATCAGAATAAACCATTTCAATATTTATTTAACAAAGAAAAACTAGTAACTTGACCCGTATGTGAACTGGCTAAGACAATAAACATTTAAATCTGTAAAATTTTCAAATTTCTCCAGGTAAAAGAATGTTCATGGCTGCCAGGTATTGTTCCAGAGACATGTAGAATAATACTCACCACAACCAAATCGGATGTTTCATTTAGATTTTTGACACAAAGGCCAGATGTTTTGGTCATTGCCACCCCGAGCTCTCTGACCAATGCTGGGACAACGTTACAGATGGTAAAGTATTACATCTTAACTTAACAAAATCTTAACAAAATCTTAACAAAATCTTAACAAAATCTTAACAAAATCTTAACAAAATCTTAACAAAATCTTAACAAAATCTTAACAAAATCTTAACAAAATCTTAACAAAATCTTAACAAAATCTTAACAAAATCTTAACAAAATCTTAACAAAATCTTAACAAAATCTTAACAAAATCTTAACAAAATCTTAACAAAATCTTAACAAAATCTTAACAAAATCTTAACAACATCTTAACAAAATCTTAACAAAATCTTAACAAAATCTTAACAAAATCTTAACAAAATCCTAACAAAATCTTAACAAAATCTTAACAAAATCTTAACAAAATCTTAACAAAATTTTAACAAAATCTTAACAAAATCTTAACAAAATCTTAACAAAATCTTAACAAAACCTGAACAAAACCTTAACAAAATCTTAACAAAAGCTTGACAAAAGCTTGACAAAATCTTAAAATCTTAATAAAACCGTAACAAAATCTTAATAAATTATATGCAGCAAAATTAATGTATTATAATCCTTGTCTTTAAAAAAATTAAGGTTTTGTTTTTACTCTGGTATAAAATCAACAAAACTGAAAATAAAAAATAAATGGTTAATGTTGCAAAATATATTCTTTGCTCCTTTAAAACTGAAAATTGTCCATATCTATTTAGTAGTTTTACCATATTTCTTTTTCTTTTTTTTTATTACAATATATATGTTGTATTATTACATTTTAAAATGTGTAATAATTAGTTTCAAAATTTAGAACTATTTTTACTTGAAGGTGAAAGAACACTTTCCAGAACTAAGCCAGCTGATTGGTGGGGAAAAAGTTTTACACCAGTTGTCTTGTTTGAAGATCATGCAAACCCCTTTAGGCTCCATGGTCATTGGCTCTGAGATCTGTAGACCCAGGGTGTACACTAATTTGTCAGCTTTCTTGGAAAACTATGCAGAGGTAATTTTTAGAGCTCCTTTATGTTATAATTGTTTATTTTTACTTATCTATAAATAATCATAACATAAATAATAAATATTAATCATATGCTTAAGGATTTGGATATTACTCTCTGATCAAGTCTTCTATTATTTTAAAAGAATAAATTTCAGAATTATTTGTGGTACATCATTATTCAGTGAATATATCTCAGAAATTAAAACAGTGTTTTTAATGTTCATATATAATTTTTAATAGGGTGCCTATGTGAAGGTATACAGTATCATAAATCTGCTATACCAATATAATTAAAGCTTAACTTTATGTGTAATTCCTCACAAGCTGCTATGGGCACCATTGTTTTCTCTGTATTGGTCAAAACAACGGGTAACGCATTTGTGTTGATTTTAATTTTTCTCATCTAGATGTTATCACTGCGCAACTTTTGGATGATCTGTGTACAAAGTTGGGTGCAGACACACAGCTGGGCCCTTGGGAAACCATCTTCTGAGCATGACAAAAATTCAGGTAAATATATTCATTGCATGCTAGTGCAAGTGGAAATCTGTGGCAGATGGTGTTTTTTTTATTAAGTATAATCCACTTTGATCTTAGTAAACTGTTGCATTTGTTATAAGAAACTAACTTCATTTTCTAAAAAATAATATTTGTTTTTTTGAATAATGTTATAAAAGATTTTAAAATTCTCATGTGAAATTTTTTTCAGCTCCGTATGGATGGGTAATTGACACGCTTTGCTTGATTACGCTGTCACGCAATGGGCTCACCCAGAACCAAATTCTTTCCATCCTGAAGATGATTGGTTATGTAGACAGCCTTGAGGTGTCACCCTATGATTGGTTGCAGTTTCAATGCTCTGCCAAGTCCACACTTTATGTAAGAGAGGATGGAAAGATATATTTCAGTCACAAATATTTGCAAGAGATTTCTGAGTACACATTTTTTCGTAAGTCTTTGTATAGAAAAAATATCTCTTTGTTGTATAGTTTATGAGGGTTGATTCATTCTGATGCTTGACAAAACAAGGAAGATTAATAGCATGTTAATTTTTGTAATGCATTATTTTTTGTGTTAGTGGTGGGATTGGGGTTGCTTTTTGTGGTGTTTGATAATGAAGTTGAGTTGGGGAAGGGATGGTTACACATTTAATTGGCTGATGTAACGTAATATTAATTATAGACCCCTTGTTGTACAGACACTAACCACTGCTTGCCACTCACTATCAAATGTGGTTACCATGACAATATAAACTACCATACTGTTTGCCAGGTTCAGAAATTATATTTTACATAGGCTATGTATAATGACATTTATATTTTATGTAGGCAAAGTATAATGAAATTATATTTTATGTAGGCTAAGTATAATGAAATTATATTTTATGAAGGCAAAGTATTTTGAAATTATATTTTTTGTAGGCTAAGTATAATGAAATTATATTTTATGTAGGCTAAGTATAATGAAATTATATTTTATGAAGGCTAAGTATTTTGAGATTATATTATATGTAGGCTAAGTATATTGAAATTATATTTTATGTAGGCTAAGTATAATGACATTATATTTTATGAAGGCTAAGTATTTTGAGATTATATTATATGTAGGCTAAGTATAATGAAATTATATTTTATGTAGGCTAAGTATAATGACATTATATTTTATGTAGGCTAAGTATAATGAAATTATAATTTATGTAGGCTAAGTATAATGAAATTATATTTTATGTAGGCTAAGTATAATGAAGTTATATATTTTACATAGGCTAAGTATAATGAAATTATATTTTATGTAGACTAAGTGTAAAGAAATCCAACAGATAAGTTTATCCCTTGGGTCCATCAGCTGTGTGAAGAGAGGGGGGTGGGGGGGGGGGGGGGCTGATATTTTGGCATTACTTGACTCTTCCCAGACTTTGTGCTTGGATTTCCAATGTGCAATCATCCAATGATCTATTAGACCATGGAACCATATATATATAAAGTTTACTTAAACGTCCCTTATGTTCCAGACTCCATCTCAACTTGTCCTAATGATCCAGAGATGATTGTCAAACTCTCCCAGTCTTCGACCAGACGCCTGTACCACGGGCACCTGGTCAGGTATTTTTCCCAGCAGCCTTTAGATGTGCAGGTTATGGAGGAGCTGCCATGGCATATGATGATGTCAGGGGATTTGAATGGATTAGTGGATTATCTCACAGATTATAGGTAAGATGTGAGGTGATTAGTAGAGTAGCTCTCATACGACAGCTGAGATGTGAAATAATGTCTTATATGTTGGTCAGAGCTAAGAAATGTCTGTACAATTGTATTCTGCTTTCTATTTTAAAAAAAATAGACAATAGTACTAATATATTAATTTTTACTCATCTGAATTATTTCATTAATCTCATTAACAGTGTTGCATTTTTATTCCATAATGAATTTACATTTACTGCGGAATAGCAACATATTGTGTAAATAATGTATAAGTAATGATTATTTAAACTATACCTCTATATATTCAATAGAATATTGCAGCAAATATTTGATGAGGATGTAAACTTATGGGTAGAGGATTTGAAACTCTATTGGTCAGTGTGTGAGACCAATGGTCAGTTGGCTGGGATGATTTACCTTGAACTTGCTAAATCTTTTGGGATTCCAACCAACCCTGATCAGGTAAATACTATCTTTGTTTGACAGTCAACATGATTATTTATAGAACCTTAATTTAATTCAATTTTTAATGATTACCTGTCAATGTAATTATATAGAATGGTGAAAACAGTTTTTTGGATGGCACCATCACCAGCCCGAGCCCTAAAGTATTTGTATCAGAAATACAGCTAGAGGATGAAAGTTATGAAAGTTTTAGCAACAACCTGTCAGCTAGCCAAACACAAGTGAGTTGTTTTTTCTCACAGGAATAAATTATCTTGTACAGCATTGTAAGCAGATTAACAGCCTAAAATCTTCTAGGGTCATCTTGCTCTACTTCTCAATTAAAAAAAATTCTGATTGAGAATATGTTTGCTTAACTGGCTTGCATATTGTTTCTTTTTACATAATAAAAAACCTTGCAGATTGATTTACAAAAGTGTTTGTGCTGTGTTTTTTTTCTGTGTCATTTGTGTGGTAGTAGGAGGAGGTGGGGAGAAAATGTTAAATGAGATAGTTGGTTGACTAAAATTATGTCCCGTTTTTTCTGCACATGTGCCTTATCCCCATCTATTTGACAAAAAATATTTTTAATCCCAAAATTTCTGATAAGTAAAAATTCGTTGTTTTTTTTAAAGTGTGAAAGAGTTTAAATTTTCATTTAATGTAGATCTAAATAATTTGAAAAGATTATTTATCACCTTACAACAATAACACTTTTTAAAAATTTATTTTTTTATTTGGTTTTTAGATGATTTCAAATGGAAATCTGGTTGAGAAATCTGTTTTTGTTACACAAGGAAGCCTAAATAAAAATTCTACAGACAAAGAACTGATAAATGAAGAAAACAAGGAAGAGATTCTCAGCTTTTCTCAAGTTACTAATCTGTTTTGGAATATTGCCAGTTTTCTTCGAAATTGTGGGCACAAAGAAGAATTTGTGGTTTTACTAATATCCCTTACAAAATACCTAACACAGGTAAAGTTGTAAGATATAAAAATTAAATCAATTAAAAAGAATACTTCATTAAGTAGTAACTTTTTTAAAGTAATTAAACAATTTAAAATCGATAAAAAATACTTTTGGTTAAAAATTTTACATTTATTTCTTTGAAAATGATCTTGGTTTTTGATTTTGCTTTTGTTGTACTTTGGCGGCAGACTGAAAAGCTTGGGATCAGAGAACAAATTTTGTTGTGTCGTTGCCACTGTGTGGCTGGAGAACTTAAGCTGGCATCAGAAGACATTCCTTCAGCTGAGGCTGAGTTCAGACTGGCCCTGCATGCTGCTCTATCAGCAGACAACTTGGATGACGACTTCATGTTTCAGAGTCAGTTACATTATCTTAAAGGTGGGACTGTTTCCTTTACTTAGGATATTTAAAAACAACTTTTAGCTGTTTATTGAGATAATAACAGTTTCTCAATAGTAATAAAAATAGACATTTTTTTTAATAAGAATTTTAAAAAATACAATGAGTTATTTAAAAAAAAAATTACCTTGGGATTTTTCAATATATTTACCATTTAATAATGACATTACATTTTTTCTTACTTTTTAGCACTGATTCTTTGCCATCAAGGCTTCATTCACCTACAACTAAATGATCATTATGAAGCAGAAGATCTCTTTAAAGAAGCCCTAGAGTGTATTGAAGATAACCCCAACTGCTTTGTTCTCAAATCAACAATTTTCAAACACATGGCATCATTAAGGCAAGATATTTTCCAATTTATACATTGTATTTAGTAACTAGAAAAAATAATGGGCATTATATAAACAAGTTTTCAAGATGTGAATTTTTAAATTTATCAGTTTTTTACCCTAATATTTTTCTAATTAAAAAAGTAATTTATATTTTGTGTAAATATTCACAATTTTAATGAATTTGTTAAAATGACATATTTTTAAAAAAAGTTTTAACTTGTTCTTAAAACTACAGCGCAAGTAGACAGGATTTTCTAAAGGCTGAGTCGTACTTGCGAGAAGTGTTGAAGTTGCAGGTGCAGTGGTATGGTTTGTCCAGTAAGTCAGCAGGTGACACATTGGTCATGCTGGCCAAGGTGATGTTACAAGCAGAAGGTGCCCAGGGGTAAAAGAATTTCTTATGTGATAAGATTTAATGTTTGCATTTGTTAAAAATCTGGATCAAATAGAATCCTGGAACAAATTAATACATTTATAAGAAAAATAAATTTTTAAAACTTTTACTGCCACACCTGATAGGTGGTTTTATATATAAAAAAATAATTCACATGTTAATTTATTTGCATAATTGTCTCCCAAAAACTAAAATTTATTGCTAGAGACAATTGCATTTTTATTTTATTAATTTTTTTCAGAGATACTGTTATGAAAGTCAAATCTTTGCTTCGACAAGCTTTGACCATTTTAGAGAAGTGTAATGGGCAGTCACACTCATCAGTTGCTGATGTTCTTTATGATCTAGGTTTAATGAATTTTATGAATTTTAATACAAAACTTATTCAATAATTATAAGTTTATATTTATATTAAATCTTAAATGTTTTACGATCTAGGTTTGATGAATTTTACGAATTTTAATACAAAACTTATTCAATAATTATAAGTTTATATTTATATTAAATCTTAATTGTTTTATTTGTTTACTGTTGTCAAAACGATATGAAAAAAAATCAAATTTTCAAATAGTTTAAGCTGCCTTTAAACACATTAAACCATGCTGTCCCCAATAGACCTCATTAATCACAATACAAATTTTAAACCAAACAGGAGTTTTATTAGCTGATGAATCCAGTCGTGCTGCCAAAATGGAGGCCCAGAAGTACTTACAGCGCTGCCTGGACCTGAGAATTTCAGAGTTGGGTAAGTTGAAATGCTGAGGTAGCATTTAGCTCAATTTTTAGGTAGTGATAGTGGCAGTCTCCTCGCAATGTAAGGACATCCACATTTACTAGTGATGACTTAACAGGTAGTTTGATCAGTTTACAACCAGGGTCGTAGCTAGGGGAGGGTGGGTGGGACACCAAACGAGGTATAAAAAAACAGAATGCTCCCCCTGAGCTGCATCACTGAATTATAAATAGTCGACGTTTAGAACAAAATTGACTGCTACTTAACTTTACAGAACATTTAGCTTTTTTTTTACATAATCATCATCTGTGTGACATCAAAATAAACCAGTTTGGATGAGATTAGGGTGGCATTTTTACCAGCATGAATAACTTATATATAATGGGGGGAGGGCAAAATTGAGAGTTTGACCTGTGCCCCAGAATGGGTTTGCTAGCCTTTACTTACAACATTGCAATTAAAGTACAAACATATGTAAAACTGCAAAGGAAGTTTCTTGCAAGAAAATATAAAAGAATGCTTTTCTTGAAAACAACAACTTTGTATAATGTAAAAAATGAATTATTAATGTTTATAGTTTGTATTACATATTTTTATTTAAATTGACTAAAAATATAAACAACATTATTAATTTTCTAATGAAACTGAAAAAGATGAAATGTATGTAACAGTATAATAAATAGTGAATATTGCTGTTTAAGCTTTTAAAAGAATGCTTTCTTTAAAAGTAGTAATATAGGCCTATATTATTTTTTTTTCTCTATTAACAGGGGTGGATAATCATCTGACCAAACTCACCTTACAGTGTCTCACAAGAGTCAAAGTAGCTCTTAAAATGGGTCAACATGGCTCCCACCCAACTAGCAGATCTACCATGAGAAGCAATGAGGTGGTGTGGATAAGAATGGGTGAGAAACTCACCAAATCACACAACATACATAGAGCAGAAGGCAGGTCTGATACGGCCAGCGTGCGAAGTTTATCAACTTCCAGAGAGAGGCCAGCGAACATAACGGACCATCGTAGACTGTTGCGGAGAGAAAAAGAAAAACAAATTTTCCCACTGTCTTGTGAGAGTTCTGAAAACTTGAAAAAATTTGTAAATTATGGGAGTAAAGATAAAACCAATTCTACAAGATCTGAAAACCTGCTTCTCGCAGATCAAAAACATCTATTAAGGGAACACAGTCATTATGATAATATTTCTCCTGAGGGCTACTTAGCTATTGAAAATGGTAAAACAGACGGAAAGCAAATAATATCCTTGAATATGCCAAAGGAGGAAATGAATCACAGCACAGTGAGTGAAAACCAGCCATCATCTGAGCATTATTTAGACGTGGTAGATAAACAAGCAAATGAGAAAAAGAAGAAGCGAGTAATCATCCAGTCAATGGTCCACCCAAGATTTTATTACCAGAGGATTAAGACATCTGACCTGGAGTCAAAATCATCCTCATCTATCAGTAAAATTTCCAGCAGCCGCGCGTCCAACCGTCTTTGGAGTGGAGGCAGCATCTTGACGGATAGGTCATCCGCGTCCAGCGCTCACTCCTCTCACTGCCACATCCCCAAGTGCCACGACATCACTGTCAGCAACACCAAGTCCGTCAGTGGGCCTCACAGCGACATCACAAGTCTCTTGGGTGACCCCCCTTGTCCAAGACCTGTCTCCCACAGGGTACATCACCGCTCTGCATGGTACCATGTTCCTGGGAGGTACGTCACTCCACAGGAGCAGTATCCAAAGAAACGCATGCAAAAAACAGACAATGCAAGAGAGATTGAGACTTTTGTTTCAATGAAAACAAAGTGGCTCCAAGATAGACAGAAGCAAATAAAAATGGCAACATTTGCAGAACAGGAATTTAACAATGGCATCATTGCCAATTAATAAATTGTGATTCAGCACTAGAACAATGTTAAATTTAGGTCTTTCTAATATCAAGAAAGAAAAATAAACAACAATTATAAAATAAATAACAATGGCATCATTGCCAATTAATAAATTGTGATTCAGCACTAGAACAATGTTAAATTTAGGTCTTTCTAATATCAAGAAAGAAAAATAAACAACAATTATAGACCAAAAATAATAATGTCCGGAGGTTCTCTATAAATGGCATCCATTAAGAAGAAAGGAAAGTTAGCCAAAACAAATATGGACGAATTCAGCTGAAATAATGTAAAAAGAATGTGGATTCAGCTTTAGGAAGACACCATGAAGTCTGCTAAATGGTTTTGATACTATCCGGTGCTTCTCCACTTGAAGGATGACGATTTATAAAAATGTAGAATTGTTATACGTTGTTAAATTTGAAGTTTTTGCTGGGCTAATTATGTTGATGTTTAATTACAATCTAAGTTTATAATCAAAATTGTACATATTTATTGTTTTGTTTACCGTTTTATTTTGTACGATATAGCTGAGCTGTGATATTTTACAAGTAATCTAAAAACACATTTTTTCTAAAGATATCTTTAACTGAATGAAAGATTCATGTTTATAAACAAATACAATGCTTTCTACTGTAGTAGACCTATATCCAAAACAGCTCTTTTTAAACATTTCTTTTTAAAGATCAGTTTAAAACTTTTTTGGATGGAGATTGCATAGAATTGTTGGATAAAAATAATTTTATGTAATTGAAATAAAAAATTTTTTTAATAACTGACAGATGAAACAACTATCTCTAGAAAATGGTAGATGAAGTAGAGTTTATCTGGCCTTAAATGTATGCTCGCAGTTTCCATTGTTTGAGAGCCAGGTACACATCATTGATGATCAATGGACTTAAGCCTAAGATCTGAACTCAAAACTTACAGGTTAACAATCATTTGCGCTACCACTGAACCATGCCTATCCATGTAACCATGTAAAATAGGATTTTAAAAGTTTTTTAAATGGGTATTTTTTAAAAATAAATTTAAATCCTGGGTAAATTTTTTTTATACATGTACACACAAACAGTATACCTTGACTTGTGTACATGTTTTTGTACACACTGAATGTATTATACACAGGTATTTATATAGAAGCAGACCGTATTAAAGTATTTAATAGTAGGCTATAACTGTTTTGTCTTTTATGAAAAAAAATCTATCTTGCTAATGTCAGTCTCAATATCATCATCATCTTTTCCTGTTCGTGCTCAAGACACATGGGCAGATGGAGTTGAGTTCATCTGCTTCAGAGACCTCGGCACACACATGAAAACTTTATCTCTAAAATTCTATTGACCACCCCCACCCCCATGAGGGGATAGTATGGTCAGCACCATGCCCAGACACCTTTTTGCCCTAGCTCTACCGCTAAGCCACGCCGTCCCAACATAAAAACCCTTAAACAGCTAGACAAAACTATTTATACCTAACTCTTCCTTAAATTTTATCGGGTCCTCGATCATTGTTACTTTTTTTTTTGCCCCTTAATCTTGAGCTGTCTGAAACCTTTACCATTCTAGCAAAAATCAAAAGGGGAACATAATCCTCATCATCATCGTTCATGTGGGCCACTTGTGGAGCACAGGGACGCAACCACAGCACTCCGTTGTACACGGTTCTGAGCAATTCCTCCAAGTTAGGCCCACGTCATTCCGGCTGCTTCTGCTTCACTGACAACTTACCTTTTCCTTGTTTGTTTTAACCTACCTACTTTCCTCTCGGAGTGAAAAAAAATGGTTCAGACTTGACAGTCTTTAGACCAGAAGTAGAGCTCACCCGTTTCTGTGACGTTGTCATATGTAGGGGTCGTGAGGCCAGTTATATGCACACCCGTGTTTACTTTCCCTAACACGAGTAAGGTACCCATCAAAGCCAGAGTTTCTTTCAGACATCTCTTCGCCCCCCCCCCCATCCCCCAAACAAAATAGAATTTATGTACAAAATATAAACCTTAACCAGTGTCCCTCCCCCAATTTAAGCCCGCCACCCCCACCCCGGGAATTTTCAAGTGCCACCCCCACCCCCGAATGTCAGAATGCAACACTGATCAGAGCTGACTCATTGGCGCCTTAAGAACCTGGGACCATAATTCAAACTGTTCATTTTTGAGTAATCGAGTGTTCTACTGAGCTACCATACCGCTCATAAGATGTAAAAAAAAACTGGACGAAAGGCTCAATTATGTAGAGAGTAGGTATTGATGTTTTTTAATTATACGCTATCAATGTCAATCATTAACATCGTATTCCCAATAAGGTGTTCGCTGGCGTAAGTGTAGACTATATCTTTACAACCCAGTGTACCTTCACCCTGCAACTATAGCTATACTTCGTCACACTAAGACGAGCTGTAAGCTGTGTAAGCCTTGAAGAGACTCAACCTTCAAATGAAAGGGTTACCCCTTCCCCGCCCACATGTTAACTTTTAACTTTAAAATGCTAACATCCTACGTCACTTTTATTGACTATCCCTACCCCCTTCCTATGTAGAGCATCGTCACGTAAGTCAACCCTTTCTTTCCCTAGGTGTGACCGTGTGTTACAAAACTGACATCATGTCTGCCCCTAAGGATAACACCCATTGTGAAACCACTTGATTGTTGGGGCAAGTTGAAAAGATGAACTATTATATCATTCTGTCTTCTGATTTCTTTTGGATGAACTATGTCTAATGTTAACACGCTTGTTTACCAATGTTCATGTTCAAACTTTCATTCACTTGAACTTTATAGCTGAGGTCAACAAGTATTAGGCCAGCCAACTTTATTTAGTGGTTTATACACGCATGGTTTAATCGATCATTGGTTGACATAACATTACCCTTTATCGTGTTTCTTTCAGTTTCTTGCATTTTGTTCGTAGGGGCGGTAGACTTTCTTCGGGGAGGGGTTGGGGGGGGGGGGGGCGGAGCCCCAGCGAAGAGATGCCTGGAAGAAACTGATCGTGTGATAGAAAAGTATGCAGATAAGCGGGCTTCATGTTTTATTACCTAACTTTAGAATCTAAGTCTAAAAACTAAAATCTTGGACTAGACATCTCAGATCAGTAGCGTAGCGAGGGGAGGGCGGGGGGGGGGGGGGGGGGGGACACATGTACCCGGGCGCCGAACTTAGGGGGAGGGGCGCCAAATTTAAAGTGTGAGGGGGGGGGGTGCAAATCGAAATCTTGAGGGGGAGGGGTGCAAATCGAAAAGTTTGTCCCCGGGCGCCGGGAAGGGTCGCTACGCCTCTGTCTCAGATTAATGCTTGCTGGAGACACGAAATTCTATACTTTTTATCAATAAGGCAAATTCATATGGCATAGGGACCACCACACTTATTCCCTTAGAAAAAGAAACTATAACGTATTATTGATCACTTTATTGAAAAAAAAAGAAAAAAGAAATTTTTAATGAAATAAAATCTTCACACAAACAAGCTGAGGTTCTAGAAACGAGACTGCGTTGTCCTCGGGAGCCAATAGATTTCCAACACACGTCAATGCTAGCCAATCGTTGCAGGGCAAGTGGTTTCTTCAGTTGACATTCACGTCTGCGTCCCCGCAAGCTAGATTGAAACGTGTGTCCACAACATAAGAGACACGTCATGTATACGTATCTTTCAACGGGTCATCGATTGCCCTTTACCACTGTTTTTCTTCTTCTATTTCTTATCTAAGCATGTAGGTCTACATGAATCATACACAGCGCGGAAAGTGTCAACGCCAGCTGTTGGGGTTATTCAGAGGCGCAGGGGTGTTTGTAGGTGGGTGGGTGCATGTGTGTGAGGGTGGGGGGTGAGGGGGTGTTAGACATGGACTCCTTTCCACAAGGACACCCAAAAAGGAAAGTTTGCTCACGTTAACAACTGGCCATGGTGCACTCATGTCGCTCATGTTTACATTTTTAAAATCTGGTCACAACACACACATTTTACTTACTTGAAGGTACAGGGGGAAAAAGAAGGGGGGAGAGAGGTAGTGATTGACAGAGGCTGATTGACCCATGGGGTAAAAGTGAGATTGGGGGGGGGGTATGGCCAGAAAGTAATGTCATGCTCCCGAAATTTTCAAGCCACCCCCCCCCCCACCCCCTACACGGAGAAAAATGTCAAAAAGAAACCCGGGGGTCGTTTTACCAAATTTATCAGAAATTTTTTTTTACGGCTGGGTCAGTTATTAGTGCGATCCCCAAATCAGTGTTTCTTTCAGTCATTTATTTTCCGGGGAGCACTTGAAACTTTCATCCCCCACCCCTCCACCGCCTACGAAGAGAAACCTGAAATAAACTGTACAAAATCCCTATCTACATCAACCATAATTTTAATTCTGACCTAGATATAAGTGTAGATCAGCATGACACTAAAAAGTTGAACAGCTGTGAGCGTGCCAGATTTTTTAGTGAGCTGCGGAAAGTTGACGCGGTTACGCCCCTCTGTCTAGTCTCTCTCCGCAGACGACCCAAAAGTCCTAAACCGTTCTATCAAAACGTGTATAAGCCAACATTGCAATAAAATCACTACAATAACAATCAACATAAATTTAATATAAATCATGTGCATCAAATGTGTTTGTGAAAGCGTATTTAGTAATAATTTCTCCATTAGATAAAAATTATTTTAGAAGTAACAGCTGCAGAATCGACGCTGTTTTGTAAGCTTGCTGTACTACATCACAGGCTATCGGTTACCACCTGCATGAACCCGCTCGTATACTCTTGTCATAATCCTGACATTGTCATAACTCTCTACACATAACTTGTTGACTGTACACGTCTCTAGGACTGTTATCGATAGTTGTATGGGGAAAAAATGTGTATTATGACCATAAGAGATCTGTTAGTTTGATAATCACAGCTTCCAAAACAAAACAAAAAAAAATTGCAAAAAAAATTAGAAAACAAAAGAATTAAAAACAAAACAAAAACAAACAAACAATAAGGTTCATATTTTTAAAAAAGTAATGATTGGATTATCCCCCTTTATGATGTGTAGTTAGACAACGGTTTCTGTGTAGCGGACTCAGATAACAATCCGTCTAATGAGCTGTAATGTGTTGAATAGACGCAGTTGACGCGCTCCACGCACCTGATTGCGCATGTCCGTGACGTGGATTGCACGAGCTAAGACAACCTCGTGACGTGTCAGACTATGTTGTGTGTTAGTAAAATTGGTTAAAAAGTTGGTTGGTGTTTTTTGTTTAAACTGCACATTTTTTTAAACTGCATATAACTGAAAAAAAAAACCCTCTTTAGACATGGGCAATTTTAACCCATGGTTGTCATACGTTATCTATTATGTACCCAAGACTATGCAAACGTTTTAAAGGTATTAAAAGAATGATTTTTGTTTTTGCGAAAAGAGATTTGGCAGCGGAAAGGAGAGGGATGGGGGAGGTGTAATGGGTATTTAAAATATCTAAAAATTGGTAAAAAAATCTAGGTCTAGAACCTGTAGGAACCATACACACATGCCAAATTTAGTCCAAAAGGAAGTGGGTTGTTGTTATATCCCTTTGACAGGAGCTGGTTGAAATGAGTTATCTTACATGTGCACTTTCCCTACTATATTACAAGGTCTGTCTCTTGTCGTGAACTTCTGGTACTGTGGTTATAGGTTTGTTTTTAAACTAGTAGTTTTAAAGCAAAAAAAAAATGGCAGGAGAAGGGGTGGGCTGAGATCTGTGTCTTTATAGAAAAGATCAGCAAAAACACATAATAAAGAATATGTGTTAACACTTATGAAAAATTTAAGATGTTTTTCGTTATTTCTAATAAAATAATAAGCTAATGAAAAAAAATGGTCTTATTGCTTCTCGAAGGATCGATTTTCCACGCTAATAAACCGAACAAGAACGCCTGCCATAACTCGCATCGGTTTGTTTGAAGCGTCTCATTACAGTTGAGCTAGTCATAAAAACTCTACCTTGGCACAAAACACCTTCCCGCTGATAACAATATTTCTTGTTGTTAGGCTGGCTAGCCTAGCGAGAGGTGGCCTACTCAGTTGGTACTCACGTTGATGGGGGAGGGAGAGGGGGGTATGACGTCAGGTAGTTGTCGTCTGGTAGGGAAGAAGCTGTATACAAAGGGGAGGTGATAAATATTTTGGCACAAAGCGCCGTGTTTTTTCCCTCCTTTCGCAT